TTGATGGTGCCATAGTGGATGTTGCCATTGTTGATGGTGCCATAGTGAATGTTGCCATTGTCGATAACCCAACCGTGGTTTGTGTCATGGTGGATATTTCCATTGTTGATTCTGGCTTTGGAATATTGGTAATGGCGATGCTAGTTTTCATTTCGGATGTAGATACTACTGTAGCTAAACATAATCGGTAGAACAATATGAAAAACAAGCGAAGCAAAATTCATTTTACTATTTATGGAGGGCAATAGTGACGTGGCCTTCGAACTCATGCTAGTTAGTGAAGTCGATGTAATTATAGATGGTAGCGTTGTAGTTTCCGTTGAGATAGCTGCAGATGATACTGTAGTTTGTTATGATGACGATTGTAAATAAAACAATTTTATAAATAACATGTATCATCACTTACCTGGAATATTTGTCATCTGATAGAACATTGATATTGTACTAAAGGTATCTTGAGCTAAAATAGCATTGACGTATCAAAGAGAAATTATCAGAAATTTGTAGAAATACTTGTATTCAGCGATCGCATCATATTATTCGTGGATGACATTTCTGTTGAGGCAATTGCAGTTAGAGTTATCGTCGTAGTTTCGCTTGCCGTAGAGGTCAACAAAGTGCTTGGTGACGATGTTGATGCCATTGAGTTTGAAGTACCTATTACGTATGAAATCAGTCATTATTCGAAATGAATTAAAGATCGTAATCATTTTCAATCACATATACTCCTACCTTTTGAGATGAGAACCAATGTGGCGATTGAACTCATCGATGCAGCAGTACTTATTGTAGTTGCCTCTGTTGTTGCTACTAAAATATCATACGCATAGTTTAATGTTTATCGCTATGCTACATAATACTCACAGATATTGTTGAGTACGCGAAATTTCTGAACTCGATTGTTTGATGTATCACTAACATAAAGTGAACCTTGACTATCGAATGTTATACTGAATGGAAAATATAACTGATCAGCTCTCGTTCCCGTAGTCATCGTACAACCACTAATACATTCCCCAAGACACGCATCTGGTGTCCAACGAAGAACTCGATTATTATTTTTATCACAGATATACATGTATCCATTGATATCAACAACCACCGATGTAGGATATTGCAGCAAATACAATGCGGTACCTGCTTGACCTGCTCGACCGGCAACAGTGATACCCGAACAAGCATTGAATTTCCAGCGTTGAATACGATGATTATTCGTATCAGCGATGTATAATGTACGAGCACTATCAACAAATATGCCATATGGAGTATTGAGTTGACTAGGACCATACCCAGATGTTCCTATCCCCGCTGCTATGTCCGCATTCGTACCATTCGATGAATTCGGTGGAAAACGTAGCACTCGATGGTTTGCTTGATCACTTACATAGATATTACCGTAAATGTCAACGAACATCTGATAGCTTGTACCAAATGTATTGTAACTCGATGTACTACCTGCCATACCAGTGATCCCTGCCACAATAGTTGGGTTAGTCCCATTTTTCTGCAACTTTAGAATACGATAGTTTGAAGAATCGAGTACATATATTCCATCGCTTGTGACGAAAATATCGGATGGATAATTCATTTGAGTTAGACCAGTACCATAACCACTGCCAATTATTGCGCCAGCTATGGTCGAGTTCGGAAAGATAACAACAATTCGATGATTGTTTCTATCCGCAATGTATAAAGTATTATCGTCCGTAATACGTATCCCATAATTAGAATTTAGGAACGATGGCGTTGATCCAGATCCACCGGTTGGCGATCCTGCAACTGTGGTTGCATTGAGTGCCCATTGAGCAGTAGGCACGAGTACGGCTTCTAAGAATGAAAATGATTTTAAATAAAACTGAATATAACTATATCTGAGGAAATATCCTCCAACATTATTTTTTTCTATTGAGTAGTGTTTCTAAACTAAATGCGGTTTCCATTCAACGGCTTTCTCTTAGTTCTGCCAGTATTTTTTGAAGGCTGATTTTTTATCATTTAGCGTATCATTCAATCTGTATGTCTACAATGAAATGTAATAATTTTTACAGTAGACTTCGTTAAAAAGTGGGCTCCACGAATGCTGTCATTGAATCATTTAAATGAATTGAGATTCAATTGTAAGTTTAACATGGATTATTATGAATCTCTAATTTTTAGAACAATATGATATGAACACAGTCAGTTCCTCCAAACCTTTAGGTTAGACCAGTTGAGAATATATTAGACTGATCTGTCACAATCTCGAATGAATAAAAAGTCTATATGTTGTGATAGATCAGATAGGTAAGAATATACTATTACAAAAAAATTTTCATTCAAAACTAGAAGCACAAAAATTTTATTGAATGTCAGCGAGAATTACTGAAGCATGTAGTTTTCGACTAATACCGTATAGTACCAGGTTGATGTTAATCAGACAAAGAACTGATTCGAATCCAGTATAATAAGCTTGTGAAATGAATAACAAACAAAAATAGTATCCACATGTATCAAATATCTATTCTTCTTTCTTCACTTCTTAGAACCTACCGTTGGTCAAAATATTCAGCATTAAATACTGTTAACAAAAAGAATTTTTATTCGACAATATAATTAACATACGTGCTGTTATTTCATGATGGCACTATAGTTCTCAAATGGAAAATGTCTTCTTTTTCAGTTTGGTTTTTGCAACTGTTTAAAATATAACTATTTTTGTATGCTATTAGCTACAATAGGTTTCTATTCCAAATTTCTTACCATACAATAGAGAATAGCGTTCTTTGCTAAAAAAATAAAAAAGTCTGAATATGAATCATGTCGTGTAATATTCTTTTAGAACAGTCTGTAAAAGTTCTGAAAATAATAACTTTATTTTTGATATTGTCCTACAGAAAACTATCGCGTGTTTTTGTTAGATTTCTATGATCAACTACACTTTTTCTCTGGTATTCAAAACTTGAGTTTTTGGTTAAAAATGAACTATAGTCAACGTTGATTTATTTTTATTGCTGAAAAGATAGACATTTCTCAAAGTCCGATGTTTATGAGTGTTCTCATGCATGTTATTCTCTTATTTCTTTTTTATTTACAACAAATCGTTTTTGATCACTTAGGTAACAGATGTCATTCTACCAGCGTTATTCATGATAATGGTTGTTTTTATCTTTTTTCATATACTCTCGACAAGAATTCACACATAGCGGATTCTTGTTCACAATGATTTGCTATACGGAATGTGAAAAATTAACATTCAATCTTATCTTACGATTTCTTCATTGCTCCTCTAAGCAAAAACACCAATAACACGTAAAGCTTATCTAGTAGCATCACTGCTTCTATAATTCAGATCGTCAGACAAACAAAATACCTGGCGATGTGTATATTGGTGAAATCATCGAACTCGCTGAAGTAGTTGAAGTCGGTCCAGTTGTCGCTGTCGTTGCTCCTATAAAGTGATTTTAACGTCACGTGAAGTTTAACTCTTAAGTATTTTACACTCACCAGTATTGTTAAGTATTGAAAATTTCTGCACTCGATTATTAGATGTATCACTAACGTAAAGTGAACCTTGACTATCGAATGCTACACTGAATGGATAATACAATTGATCAGCTCTTGTTCCAGCAGTCATTGAACAACCTGCAATGCATTCCCCAAGACATGCATCTGGTGCCCAACGAAGAATTCGATGATTATTCTGATCAGTTATATACATGTATCCATTGCTGTCGACAACAACGGAACTCGGATTTTGAAGTTGGCCGAGACTATTGCCGCTATATCCGGTTCCCGCCACAGTCACACCATAGCAAACTTCGAAATTCCATTTTTGAATTCGGTGATTATTGGTATCCACTACGTACAATGCTCGATTGCTATCGACAAAGATGCCACGCGGGCTATCAAACCCTTGACGTCCGTACCCGGCGAATCCTGTTCCAGCTAATGTACTTCCTGTTGTACCACTCGTTGAATTTGGTGGAAATCGCATCACTCGATAATTCGCTCCATCACTGACATAAACATAACTGAAGTCATCGACAAATAATCCGTAGCTTGTAGAAAACGTTGCATTACTTGATGTACTGCCCACAATACCAGTGGTTCCTGCCACAATAGTCGTATTAGTTCCATTTTCCCACCATTTCAGAACGCGATAATTGAGAGTATCGAGCACATATATTCCATCGCTTGTGACGAAAATATCGGATGGATAATTCATTTGAGTTAGGCCAGTACCATAACCACTGCCAATTATTGCTCCAGCTATGGTCGAGTTCGGAAAGATAACAACAATTCGATGATTGTTTCTATCCGTAATGTATAAAGTATTATCGTCCGTAATACGTATCCCATAATTAGAATTTAGTAACGATGGCGTTGATCCAGATCCACCGGTTGGCGATCCTGCAACTGTGGTTGCATTGCCTGTCCATTTAGCCGAAGGAGAAATATTCAAAAGTCCTACATAACATATAGTAAAACATAGGTGCCATATTTTTGTTTTCAACAATAGGCTTTTAAAAAAGGGTTATAAAATACAGAGTTAGTTTCTCAGTTAAATCCTATCTTTGGATTGACAACAATCGTAACAATATGAAATGATGATTACAGTTAACCTATACTCAATTTAATAATAAAAAAAAAATATTCTTGGAAACTAAGATCCTCATGGATAGACTTTTGAAAATATAAATTATTATATAAAATACTATTTAGATAGTTGTTTCTTAGGGAAACTGATCGATTTTCTCATTACAATAAAATAACATTCATTAGAATACACAACTATATTGAATTTTAAAAAATTCATCAAGCACATTTCTCTTTAAAAACATTTCTTCAATTTCTAAGTTATAAAAAACAAATGGGTTCTCTTAGATGAATTATTGCAATGTCTAAAAAAAGAGAACTCTCACCGGCAGCCATGTTCACTAACGCCAACATGAACAACGCACGTTGTTCAATCTTGAACGAACACCAGTAAACCATAATCATTTGAACAGAATTTTTCTGATAGAAAATCGACAATTCTAGGTTTTATGAATATTCAGAAATGATGCACTATAAATGGATGCTTTGATGAAAATGAATGTTAGAAAGAATCGAGCAGAGAAACAATTTGCAGTTAAAACATATTAAACAGCAACAAAAAAAAGGGACGCAAACACTCTATTATGATGATTATTAATAATAAATGTATACCTTTGCCATATGGAATTCGACACCTCGTTTGAACACTGCTAATGTTTTAATAATAATGAAGAAAGTCTTTTAAAGAATAGACTTTTGAAAAAATTTCGAACACTTTGTTGATAAAAAAACCAATTGTTGAGCTGAAATTGAGAATTTTGAGTTTTCATATTGTAAAGTATCAATCGGTCCAAACAAATAATTCGAATATATGATACACATAACAGTGCTGCATAGTTGTACCATATTTCACTATTGGAACTAGGAATAAATATCGAAAGAAAATTTTTCTCGAGCATTGTATTAGATATTATAATATCTGTAGCATTACTTTTGATATACTCTAGCACGAAACAAATGCACAGAGAAAGAAGAGAGCATTGTCTACGGTCGTTGTTTCAACTAATACCTAGTATTTGAATATTAGAGAATGCCTATTTCTACAAAATTTTAATTTGATTGTCTTCCGCATACTAATTAGATTTATGCTTGATGACACATGAATTCAATTATGACTTTCATTGATATTAACATATTTTCGGCACTCATTACCAATTACTACTTGCCCATTCTGGTGTTACATTTGCTTGAATCGAAGTCAATTTTAATCATAAATATTATAGTTATCTTAAGTATCTGATATTGACCTAGATTTTTAACTAACGAATCGAAAGAATAATTATGTCATTGAATTGAACGATCATGTAAATTTTTAGGTTTTGGTTTTTACTTTTCATATTGATAAAGCAATAGATTTTGGTCATTATCCGATAATATGTTATTTTAGCCTCTTGCCATATAGAAACATTAAATTGTAATGAATTACAAAAGTGTTTTCCAATAATTTTGTTCTATGTTAAATCTAACATACAGTACAAAGTTGCGGCTCAAGGTACCACTTCTCAATACGTCAAGAGTACACAGTAGAACCTGATAACACATACACTATAACATAGAAGAAGTCTTTCTCTAGAAGCTTACATATATCGCTTTGTGTAGTCAAAAGTCTGTAGTCAACCTTTGTAAGAGTTTTTTCTATAGAGTAAAACTGTCAAAAAAGAGACACTAAACTCCAAATATTACTACAAATACTGTTTGTAATACTTTGAAACTTTGAAAAATATGGGTTTCTCAGATATGATGGACCATGAGAGAAAGAATTTTATTGATTTATTTTATTCCACAATACAAAACAACAATGTATTTCTAATTCGTTTCTTGTTTTTACTTAATTAAAAAGTTAATATATTTCATGCAACATATCAACAAACTGACTGAGTATTCCACAGAATACCTTATGATTACTATTTCATTTAATGTATTATTAGAAATTTTTGTTTGTATATTCATTTTCAAAGATATTTACATAATTACTTAGAAGATGTAAAGAAACTGCGCCAAAAGAGAAAGAAAGAAAAAAAAAACAAACTTCACTATCATAATTTAAAATGACAGAAAACGAACAATCCGTAGGATCTATCGATGTATGCTATTATTGTTCTTAATTTTTAACTATAATTATCTTACGATAGATTATTCCAAACAATATTATATTATATTGGATGTCAGGTCAAATAGCTTCATGGAAAATTCGTATAGCTCTTGAAGAAAAAAAATTACAAGGTTATAAAAGCATTATGATTATTCAACCAGATCAAATTGATAAAAATGATAGTTTCTGGAAGAATAATGAATATGGAATTGTTAGCAATTGAAATCTTTTGTTTTTGTTTTTTTGATTAATATAGATCTCTTTTTAGGTACCATCACTAAGAATACAAGATATTACATTGAATGGTGTTTTACCAATACTCTTATTCCTTGAAACTTCAATACCATCATTATTACCTGAATCTTCATTAGAATTAAAAGGTCAAGTACTCGAACGTGCATTTGAAGTAAAAATTTCTATTGAGAAAAAAAATATATATATCAATCATTAATCTTATTTTATTATATAGAGTTTAGAGTTTCAACGTGTATGTTCTGAAGATCTTATTAGTTATTTCTTATCTTTTGATAATTTTCATACATCATTTATCGATAAAGATCTACGAGAAAAACGTGAAAAAAAATTATTTTCTGAATTAAGTCGTTGGAATGATTATATTACACAAGTAGGTAAAAATTAATTATTTCAAATGTATTATTTGAACAAATTTTCCAAGACAGATCCAATGAATTGTATTGTTCATACATCATTCACTCTAGCTGATGTATTATTTTTTCCAGAACTAGCTTTAGCTGTACAATTTGGTTTATCACTTGATTGTTTTTCTTGTCTTAGTCAGTAAAACTATATTTCAATAATAAAGATATTCGATGATGATCATATTGCATAGGTATCTATTATGAAACACTTTCAAAACGTCCGTCTATACGTAAAACATGGCCTTATCATTGGCTTCACACTAATATTAAATATGACTGGCTTTCAAATGTCAATCGATTTGCTATGCTTAATATAAAACAACAAAAATTGACTGAATCAACATTACATCAATCTATTGATGAAGATAGAAATGAAAATACGGAATTATTAAGTCAATCTTCTGACAAAACCAAAAGTCTAGATGATCAAACGGATATATACAATTGAATTATTCTTATTTTATCAAGAGATAAAAAGGACGATAGTGTCACATTTTTTTTTGTCTTTTCATTGTAGTATTTTTACTAACATGTCATTTAACTAGTAGTAGTTGATTGTCTCGATTATAACGGTATGTCGATATAACAATCATCGAAGGTAGATGAGTAGGAAGAAAAGAACGTCAAGGGTTGTATGTACACATGTTTACTTTGATCCTTCTGTATGCGTATCATTCATTCTTCTTATCTTTGACTGATCGGAAGATTTTATGTCGAAATAGTTTGATCAACAAATCTATGCTTGTATACAAATGATTAGTTTCCGCCTTCACAGTCCGTTGTCGATCGACTCAAGTGACTTTTGACACGAATCAATTAAGAGAGAAGAAGAAAAAGAGAAAAAGAACATGAAAAAAAAAGTGAACGATTATAATCATTGTATAGATTCGTAAGACAGATTTGATATTACAATGATCGAAATCAGTTGAGTCAAGAATCCTAAGATACCGCCAATGACTAAGGGCGGCAGTGGTAAATCTAAAACATTAGGTAAGTAAAAAGAATAAACAAAAACAGCAGATTGAAGATGAATTCCCTTTTTTTTTTTGTATTTTATTTAACATACAAGGCCGTCTGATTTTTGGAGAAAAACGAAAACCAAATCCATCACCAGCACGTCATCAATCATCAACACGAAATAGTGCAAATGTACCTGAGCCGACATCGCCTGGTGATGCTACGGCAAATAAAACTCCACTTAATATACAAGATTGGGCTGTTTGGCGAATGCAATTGAATGAACAAATGGGAAGTGCAATAGGTGATCAACGTTCTGAGGTTAAACATATGCGACATTTTCTTCAATCAAATTCATTTTATCAACAACATAGTCGAGATCCATCGAGTGGTCGATATAATGGTGTTCACTTACTTTTTTCTATTCCTCGTGCTAATATTAAACCTGAATTTTTGGATGAATCACGAGGAGAAATCACTAAAAGTAATAACAATGAAGTAGAAGACGTGGTAGACTATGAAGAAAAAAAAGTTCGATCGAATAGTGATGATCGAACAACAACAAGTGTTAATTCAATATCTGCTGTACAACCAATGGTCATTGATAAAACGATTGGTCAATTGCTTCCTAAAGCATCAGTTGGAAATACAAGTGGTTTTCTTCAAACAAATGAACCAATGATAGCAGTTGATGGAATACATCCTCGGTAAAACCTCATGAATAGAATCATCAGTTTTTGTTATTGTATATAATCATATATATGTTTATATTTAGTCGATCAATTCGAAGATCTTTCATAGCAACAGATCGAATTCATGCAACATTACAAAAAGCCGTTAAAGACGGCAATGTCCTCGAAAAAATTAAAGCATTCGAAATGCAAGCAGCTGCAGCACAAGCTGTATCCGGAAGCAAATTAGGTGGTATGAATTATCGAATACAACATGTAACGTCATCTTTCCAACCAACTACTCATCATAGATCAAGTCCAGCTATTGTTCATCCTATGCAACATGCAATATCTCCAATACCAATACAACATCAAAAACAACAAACTAATCGTTCCGGTCGTGGTCGTTTTGTTCATTCAGTTCAACAACAACCTGATGATAATCATGAGTCTATTCCTGGTCATAAATCGCGAAAAGGAGCACATGTTCTTGAACCAGCTCATGGTGATATTATTCTTAAACGACGAACACCATCACAAACAGGTGCTAATGATGAAGATTATTCAATAACAGCAATTAGTTCTATGCCATTGCCAGCTCCTCAAAGCCACCATCGTAATAATAATCATCATCATCATTATCATCATCGAACAAGTGCATCTCGTTCTCGACAACGTCAAGAAGCTATCTATGATAAACGTGCAGCAAGTAAAAATGAAAATAGTTCTCATAAAAATCATCAAAAAACAAAAGGAACAACAACATCATCAGGTAAATTATCCACACGTCGTCGTTGGCTTAAAGGACGAAAAGAAGGACCTGCAGAAGCATCTAATCAAGGCGATAAACAACAATCAACAATTACTAAATCAAATAAAATTAATACAAATAAGAAGAAAAATATGGAACAAGAAAAAATTAATTCAAAGAAAACATCAACAAATAATAATAAAGAAAAATTGTTATCGGATAATAATCGTGTTTATGGTGTACCAAATACAAATATTATTGAACAAACAAAAATTGAATCACCACCATTACAAACATCAATTAAACATGAAGAAAAAAATGAATCAGATTCAAAAAAAGATACAATTAATAATACAAATACTTTTATTTCATTAAAACAAGATAATATAAATCAAATTAAAGAATGCGATACAATTATACCAATGACAATTCAACGAAAACCAAGTAAAAAATATCATCAACAAAAATTATCTGGTTTAGATGAAGGAATTTTAAACCAAGTCGATGACGATAATCGGTTCGTACTTCAATAGTCTTCTTTTGTGAAACACGACCTAAAAGGATTGCTAAAGTATCTAGAATAGAAATTGACATTTCTCCTTCACAAATCATGACAAATATCTTAGCAAGGACGCCTAACAGACGTATTGGTAGCGCGAACGGGTTTGTCGAAGATCTAACATTCATTCAATCATGGAAAATTTTTATTTTTTCCAGTAGAACTGAAGAGTTCGTTTTGAATTCTGTTAAAAGAAAGATATTCTAAGTTTTCGAAAAACTGTGACAACTATCAATGTTAACTGGTGAGTGAGGCGAGACAAACAATTGTCGTCAGTAACTTATTCAAGATGATCTTATAGCTGCTAAAATAAAGGTTTGAGCACAATATCTGTTGAGCTCCTGTCGAATAATGTAGTCATTCACCGCTAATAACATCTCATCATATTATATGAATCACATTCTTGATTGCATTTCTAGAAAACTAAGTAAAGAATGGTAGAGAAATACTTGTTCCAAAATAGATAGAATAAAACAATCTTTCTTGTAATTAACAATAGCAGCTAGATAGTGTTTTACATTTTAATCTCGTAAGAATTGTCCGAACAACTATTATTGATATTTTTAATTTTATTGTCAGATTTAACCATCCTGCTACTGATGATTATGTTCATCGTTCAGAGCTAAATGATGATGATAATAACGATGATGATAAAAGTGAAGGCGATGTTTTTATTGAAGAAACACCTATTAAACCTACACCAAATATAATTCGTCATCAATCAGTTCTCAATCTTCCAAATAATGAATCACGTCGTTTTCAACAACAATCGTCATATGCTATTCGACGTCATGCAAGTCAATGTTCATCTAATGAATATACATATGATCGACATTATCAACAATCTAGAGAAAATTCTCAAATAATTATTACAAATACTCTCAAGAAAAAACCACCACCAATAACATTGATCACTCGTAAAAATAAATTAAATCAAGATGAACAATTTGTTTATGAAGCACCTCATTCCGATCAAACACAAGTACCTATGTGTAATAGTCATACAACAAAGAAAAAACGTCCATTTCATACAATTAATGTTACAGGAACTACTAATAGTAATAATGGACAAAATAATAATAATAAACAAATTAGTAAACAAATTCTTCATGCAATTATGAATTCAATGAATAATAATCAAGAACAAACAACAATAGGACCACCAATAACATTATCATCATCAGTAAATGATGAATTTTTTGAAAATGGACCTCTTACAAATCCAGAAGAAACGATGGCAACTATATCAACTTTAATTTCGAAATAAAAGAGACTCTTTCTTGTAAAAAATAAAAGCAATATTATTTACTGTAGTAGTTTTATGTTTAATAAAATGTTTTAAAAAATATTTAAGGGTCAATTACTGATATTTGATGATGATAGAAAAGACATGCACGTAAACCAATTAAGAGTTCAAGTTCGTGAGAAACAATAATCAACTTTAGATAACGTCAACCAAAAACTATAAGTAATTATCACAATGAATTTTGTTCGAAAGAAAATTAATTTTAAAATGATACAATAAATCCTATAATAGTATGCAAATCTTTTTAATTTTTATGACACTTTCAGATGATTATGTATGAAAAACAAACAAAATATAGAAGAAAATTTCATCAGATAATGTCCATGGATGTTTTGTCGTACATTTCAAAGACACAAGTGAAAAAACGCCACCTTAGCCTAAATACCATTGTTTAAAATCTAGTATCGCAAAGTTTAATTTATTCGAAAGATAATATGCATTTTTTTCATAAATCATGGATTCGTTCCAGTTTCACGAGATTCTACTCTATTATTGAAATACTATTTAGCTTCGATTCAAATTAGGTGACAAGTCAAGCAAGAATAGTGTATTTGTAGCAAATTGCCTGTCGATCAATCGTCGAGCAAGGATACTTACTAGTGACAAAATTCAAGTATTGCTATTATTATTTTTATGTTATATGAAATGGATTCATTCTCAATAGATTTATTTCATTCATCTCATCGAAGCTTACGAAATGTCAATATATAATCTTCTAATGTAAGCTCTATTAAATAGAAAATTGTGTTCAAGTATAGCAAGTATTTGTTGGTACTGGTGCTGAGTATGTCATACTTAGCTATATGTAGGGTAGGGTAAAACTAAGAATCTAGTAAGGTAAAGCACAACGAGAATAAAAGAATCAACAAATTCATTATACAGATATGTTATTATTCGATTCTTCGATCATCATTACATAACATTGAATATGATAAGATTCAGTCGATAGGAAATATAGCTAAATCGTATAAGATACAAAGAATTCTTGAAGAGTCGTGACTAAACTTCAGTGATGACATGTTGTTCATTAGAAGGTTCAAAAAAAATTATACTTTAATTTTGTGTATTAAAAAGAAAATACTACTCTATTTACCACTTTCAATGTCGTTCAACTAGAGTTGTAAGCTGTCTTGCATACACCTGTACTTCCAACTAGACATTGATTAAGAGTGAGCGAAAAATAGACTTCATAGAGCAGAAAAATGATTATCAAATTTTTCTCTCAAGGGAATATGATGGCAAAAGTCTCCTAAATAATCACTATATTTTGTATAGATCTTGTACATTTCATGTTACTTATATAGATTCGTGACACATAGTAACAGCATTAAAATCTTAGAAAAGGATCTCTAAATTTGTGGATAAGTTCATATATCTATTCACTCAAAAGCAAGAATACAGTGACTCATATAGATTTTCTTCATGATTTTCTTTCTAAAAACTATCCATTGGATTTCTTATGACTAACCAATACTTATCGATTGTTTTCGGTCGTTTACCATAGAGCAATTTAAATGAAAGTGAAATATTTCTTTTTAAAAATTTTTTTATCATTTAATTCATCGCTTCTGTTTATTTGGTTATAGTCTTTCGCAGAACAATATTATTATTAAGCATATGATATAATTTTTGATTCGACAAGTGAATATATACAAAATGATCATAGAAATATAAAGTTTTTTTTTTCTACAACGAAGAATATTCGTAAAATTCAATGATCTATTTTTTTTTTATTCCATCTATTCTTCGTTATGAAATAATCATCGTTTATTTGTCGACTACTGACAACTATTGAACGTCATTAGAAAAAAACTCGGTTTGACTATTGATTTAACCAATGATAATATGATTGAATCTATCTTGATAAATTTCTAGTTTTCGCAAGAAAAGTTTTTCTATTCTGATTTTTAATAATCAATGGAACTATAAATACTAACACAGTATGAATCAATTTAGTTATGTGGTTCCAACTGACCGTCAGAGCACTATCAAGATACATTTTATATTAATATGATATCTATAATAACCGATTGTTTATTATAGGTCCTTATCCTACATCTAATGCGGCAGTACAATCTTTCATTTTATCTATCGAGTGAGTCAAAATGATCTCACCACAGACCTTAATCTTATAGTGTTGAAGAATTTGTTGTAAAAGATGCACTGTTGAATTTTAACAAGAACCACCATGGAAAGTCTCATTGCATTGTTTTAATGATTTTCTTGTAAGGATAAAATTAAAGCATGATATACTGTAAAAAAAGAAAATTGAAGGAAAATAATATAAAAATCATGAATGTTCAATGAAAATATGATCACCTTGATGTTGTTTAACTTCACCAACTCCTGAAAGAACCGATCACTTTGCGAACATCACAGAAATAATCTTCTCGTTTTGATAATTGATGTTCTTACTGACATGATCTCACAAAGAGTAATCTAATGAGTTTAAGTTTAGTGAATTAGAAGCTCATTAATCTGTATGTATGGCACTTGAGATGTATGAACTTTTCTTTCCATTGTCATTTAAAAAATTCGAAGGATCTTTTTATAAAAAAATATTAAAGAATTTTACGACGCATATTAAGAGAAACTGATTTAAGGTTTTATTATTTGGTGGTGGTGAGATATATCTAAAATAATCGAATATATGATCATCACACAGTGCCTCAGTTTTTACCTTGCACAAAAATCATTAAAATAATTCAGTGGGACTGCTCATAGCCATTCTTATAGAGAATTTTACGATGCATCTATCAAAACGAAATTCAACATTATAGAAATGATATCTGTGTTGAAATATTTGCAAAATATCCAGTGCTGCTATCATTTTGACTCACCTCGTGTATGCATTCGCTTCCAGATATCTCTTATTCTAAAGAATTAGTTGTTCTATCATTCTGTTTAGTCAAAAGAAACTTTTATTTTGGAGTTGTGAGTGTTGAAAAACTAGATTTTAGACTTTCTTGAGAATCTAGGTTTTGGGAACATTGTGAGGATTTCGTTTTTCTCAAAGCTTTGTTTGCAATAAATTTCTTGATAAAAATTAGTATTTCGATTGTTCATATCAGTTACCGTTACGAAAAAAGTCAAAATTAAATCTATATAATCAATTTTTGAAGCTATTGTACATAAAATATGCATACCGAGTATCATTTGCATAGTCAAAATAATAATAACCAAAGCTCGCGATAGTTTTTAGAAATGGAATGGAATAAAACTTTGGCAGGCAATTTTGCCTACGTGACGTAGAAAATAGGAGGAACTAGCACATCTCCTCGCCTTCTACGTCATGATTCATGCTTAAATAAATATTCAATCTACAGAATTTTCTTAGTTTTAGATGACAACAAAAGCATTAATACAACGTAAAGTTCTTGAATATGAAACATTTTTAAATGATCGTCTTCGTGTCGATTTACAACGTGCATGGTCAGAACGTGATCGTATTTTTTCTGAAATTGCTGAATATGAGCGTCTACGTGTTACATTAAATACCCTCGATGAAATGTATAAAAATCGTAAAGAAACTGATGTTGATGAATCATTACAAACACAAATTGATCTTGGTTGTTCATTTTTTGTTCAAGCTGAATGTTCAATAAATAATCGAATATTTATTTCGATTGGCTTTGGTCTTTTTTGTGAATTAACGTATGATGAAGGAAAAAATTTTATTGATAAAAAATTGCCTTATTTACATGAACAAGAAATTGAATTATCAAATAAAATTGCACATATTAAAGCTAATATAAAATTAGTTTTAGAAGCATTAAAAGAAATACAAACAATTGATGATAAAAAATCCGCAACGACTATATTACCATTTTGATTATTTTGTTCTCTTTTTTTGTTTCTCTATTTGATTTTTGTAAAAAAAAAAAAAAAAAAAAGGAGCACAACTTATTTGTTTTGTTTAATTCGATTTCTTTTGAATCTATAAGATTAGGAGATATAGCGACATTTTCACTGAAGAGAAAGTATGATCTATTCGATCATGTTAGTGACTTGTGAAGTAATGAAATATACGCCTGTTGGAGAGAGCAGTGTCTGAACTACAAATGTTGTGCCCGATATATTTTTCCAGAACCGATTTCAGAAAGAGGAAAAGTCAAAAATCAAACACCTCTAAAAGAAAAGTTCTTGCAACTTCACCGTTGAGTAATGTTATTTCTATTTCTATTTTTATTATTTATTCTTTTATATTAGAAGAATATGGGAAAAATGCATGTATTGATCCTATGTCATGCGAATTGTGGTTCTCGTGCTTAATTTCTTTAAATATTTTGCTGCGTACATAGTCTTAAGCCTTTAAAAAAATGTTAGAATTCACTCGAAACTGCAATTTCTTAAGAATGTAAGTTTGATCATGTGACCTATGCTCAGTATTGCACCCAGAACACTAGCGACTCGCCAGACTTAGGTGGCAAGCGAGTCAGATACAAGAGGACGAATGATTATTTCATTCTCTTAAATCTAATTGGTTATCCATCAAAGTTTAGCAAGTTGTTAGTATTCCTGGTCCACCAGTGAAGCCTATTCCAATCACGTCAACAATTTTCATTTGATTTCCGACTTCGATTATTTCTTGAAGATACCACCACCGAAATGGTCATTATTTATGAGATTTAATGCTCAGAAAAAGCGAAGCATCATCTGACAAGGTTGGCATTGATACATTCAAGTTGATTTTTTTTTTGAGTAGAAATCGAGTTTTTCAAGACAGAAAATGGTAATTTTATAGGAAGTTCATAAAATAGTAAATCATTCGAATTGTCGGTTTGATAAAAAGTTGACGACATGGATTTTGATGTAAATATAAGAGGTGCGTGGAAAGTCACCTTTTATATAATACACTATACTTCTCCTCTGTGGTTAAACCGATTCGAGTGGTTTTTTCTCTCCTTTGATCGAGTTTCGAAAAACAACATACAGTTCTCTCTGCTGATTGTTTCCATTTTTTTTTGTTCTGGACTTTTCATTATACGGTTGGCTTTCTCTTACTTCATAAATATTTGCATGACACGCTTGAAAAAATTTATGCAATTGGTACCTTTCTTCAAAGCAATTCGTTCCTTGCTCATCAAAAATTTTGATAGGAAATGAACTGATGTAAAATTTTAGAGTTTTCAGAGTCACGGAGTTTAGGACTAATGTTCTAATTTTTAAAAAACATGCCGTGTAAATATCTATGAATTCAACCAAGAAAGTCTGTATGGTGAAAAGTCCAGAATAACGAAAACAATTCAGCTGAAAACTCTACATGCTGTTTCTGAAAGATCAAAACAAGATACTTTTTATGTATTCGATCTGAAAGTTACGACTTGTAACTTTATAAATAAGAATTTAAAAGTCTCATCTATTATCAGAGCAAAGACCACTTGATTTGGTTTAATTGCATTTTATATGTATAGTTTTCTTTCTGGTAGGTTTTTTTTTGGACACTCTGTACCAATTCATGTTTCAGTTTTGAGAAAAATGAACTAAGTGATGTGTTCTATTGCCGAGTTTATAATGAGCACTCATGTATATGTGATATAAAGCAGATCTTCTTTCATTTTGAACATATGACACAAACATTATTTCGACCTAATCGAGTAATACAGAAATGGACTATTGTAATGACAATCACGGTCCTTCATTTATGATAAACTATAGTGTATATATAATGCTTTAAACACATAGACAAGGTACGAAAAAAAAACAAAAGAAAGAGAAATAAAACTTGTAGTCATTCTCTTTTGTTATTCGTATGACAAACCGAAACGAAGATAGAAACAGAGAGAGAGAGAGATAAAAGTAAATATAACCAATTTATACAGAAGCAGTTACAATTACGACCGAATATTGTGATTATAATAATGATAGTAATCCAGCAATCATCAATTACGTATATATAAATACGTAATTTGTTTTTAGATGTTTGCTAAACGGCAATTTTCATGCGTCATTTCAAAACGTTTGTATTGGTCTTTTTTTATTCGTTATCAATCAACGACAACTACCGATCTAATTAAAACGTCTCCATCTGATATTGAACGGAAATCAACCATCGATTATACACCATGGGCAACATCAGAATCAAATGGATTAATTAATTATTTATCTGCTCGAATTAAAACTGTTGGACCTATAACTGTAGCTGAATTTATGCGTGAAGCATCGTTAAATCCCAAATATGTATGCTATTGATCATTGTATTTGTTTTTATATATATATATCGAAACCAGTCAACAGAAAAAAATATATTGCTTATTATTACTTTTCTTCTAGGGTTATAATACACGGCATGAAGTCTATGGTAAAAAAGGTGATTTTATCACGACACCTGAAATTAGTCAATTGTATGCTGAAGTAAAAGATTTTATATATTATTAGTTAATTTTTTTAACAATTAAATATCTATTAGTTATTAGCTAAATGGCTTATGCAAGAACATTCAACAATTGGTGGAAATGTTTTACAATTAGTCGAAATGGGACCTGGTCGAGGTCTAATAATTAATGATATTATTAAAGTAAATATTAATTTGATAAGAAATAATAGGAAACAAAAAAAAAATCAAATTTGAAATTGTTTACAGATATTAAAAAAACACAAATATTCTCATACACATACATTTTTTGCTTTGTATGAAAATAATCTACATATGCGACGACGTCAAGCTGAAACATTACTTGGACGATCGGTATATAAAATCTGATGAATATATATATATATATATATATATCAAAAATTTTATTTTTTTATGTTTTTATTAGTTTAATCCATTAGTTGCGAATGATTATCGAATAAAAGATGGTAATTATTCTCTTATATGGATCGATGATTTTAAACAATTACTTCCTCATGATACATATATTATTGCAAATCAATTTTTTGATGTTTATCCTATACATAAATTTCAAGTAAAGTTCATTTAGTAAAAAACAAACTAAAAGAACAACTTAGAATATTTTTCTTTTCAATATTCTATAGAAAACATCACAAGGTTGGAAAGAAGTTATGATTGATTGGAATCCAATAACAAAACAACTTCAATATGTGTTATCATTAAAGCCAACATCAATGATTAGACTTTATGAAAATGTATATTTTATATTCTATAGATATTCATTTAGTTGATTTAATTTAGTTTCTTAATAATATCAAAGATAGACAACATGTAGAAATCAGTCCACAACGTGCAATGATAATGCAATCTATGTGTACGCATTTAATGAAATATGGTGGTTCAGCTTTAATAGGTGACTATGGTCATTGGGGTGAAAAAGGTGATACATTTCGTGTATGTATATTTTTCTTGATTAAAATTATAGTTTCATTTTTGTTATACATAGGCTTTTCGTAAAGATGAACTAGTCGATCCACTTTCTGATCCTGGTAATATTGATATAACATCAGATGTTGATTTTGAAGAATTATCAATGCGTGGTATGCAAGTACCGAATGGTAATAATATTTAGTGACGTAACCAAGGAGAGTTGACTATCGCTGATCGAGGTCACGCTAGCTAAGCTTCGCCACTAGACAGAATCCAGCAATTTGATATCTCTCCTCGACGGCTAAAACTCTGGTTACGTCACTAGTATTTTTCACTAAAAACAAACTTTTATTTATTTATTTTATCGAATTTCAGTTCAATTTTTTGGACCAATTTCTCAAGGAAATTTTCTCTATAATTTGGGCTTGAATGATCGATTAACAGTAAGAGATGATATTTTGAATAATATTTATTATGAATAAAAACTTTTTTAGAATTTAACATATGACAAAACACCTGAAGAACAAGAAGAAATTTTAAGTGATGTGGAAAAATTAGTTAGTTCAGAATATATGGGTGATAGATTTCTTTATATTTGTGCACAACGAACAAATAAAATAAATGCACCTGCGGGTTTTTCTTCTTCAAATTGAATACGAAAAAAAACATAGAATTTTTGTAAGAGAATTTTTTTTTTCAGATGCCAGGAAATTTTATTAATGAAGTTAATTCATGCGTAGAAGATTCACTTATTGGTTATGTTCGTACGCATGATAATTTAGAATTAGCTGGACGAGCAGTTATTTCACGATCACCAATACGATCCGTAGCTGTTATTAGTGGAAATGGAGCTGGTCATGAACCAGCAATGGTTAGTTGAAAAGAATAAATTATCGTTGAATTTAAAAAAAAAAATTTTTTTCTATGTTTAGATTGGATTTGTCGGTCGTGGATTATTAAATGCTTGTAAGTCCATAATTGGATTAATCTTTAGAAATAAATATTTTAAAACTTGGTATTTTTCAGGTATATCAGGTTCAATATTTGCATCACCACCATCAGCAGATATATTTCGTCTTATTGTGGAAATGAAACGTCGTGGTGCTAAACAAATACTTATAATTATTCTTAACTACACGGGAGATCGTCTTAATTTTGGTTTAGCTATGGAACGTGCTAGAGAACTAGCTATTGATATTGATATGTTAGTTATTGCTGATGATATTGCACTTAATAATCCTATTGGGTAGATAAAAAAACAAAACATCCGATGATTGTCATGTTTTCTTTTCTTTTTCTTTTCTAGGCCTCGAGGTTTAGCTGGAGCTTTATTAATAATTAAAATTGCTGGTGAACTAGCTGAACAAGGTAAAAATATGACTCAAATTGTTGATATTTGTCAAAAAGTACGTGCTCATTTACGTACAATTGGTTTATCTGCTTCGGGTATTCGAGCACCGGGTCAACAACAATCATTTGATGTATGTTTTGAAAATGTTCTTTTTTCGAAAAGAACTTTACATGGTTCGGTGGCCTATACTGAACCAGGATGCCATATATGTAGTTATGTAAAGCAAGTTGCAGTGTATCACATACTATATAAAAAAATAGAGTTTTTACGGAAATTTGGATGTGCTAAGGGTAGATTATTGATATATTAACAATACTCAGCGACCTTATTAAACATTTTTATGTATCAATAATGAGCACAGCATGTCTGGTGAGCTGAAATAAAAAAAAAGAAACTTTATAAACGCAAAAAAAATGTTTGCCTCTAAGTCTCTGGAGGAGAGTAAGAGTGTAGGATTGCAGGCATGAAATCTATTATTTTTATTATTGCTTTTTGAAAATTTTTTTCAAGTATAAAAGTGTGATTTTTGCATGAACCTCTACAAGAATCTATAAATATCTCATGTTCATTTCAAAAATATTTTTTTTTCATATCATCGTACATCTGCCCCCTCTCTCCCCCTCCCCGCAGGCTGTCTGGAGGTTAAAAAATTTTTCTTTATTCGTAGAAGTGTTATTTATATCAGCTCATCAGGGTTGCTGTGCTCATTATCAATGCATAAAAATTTGTGCTGAGTCATTGAGTATTCTCAATATATCATCAATATAGCAAGCATATCATATAACGCAAGAGGCTGTCCTAGAGGACAGTAATGCAAATTAGTAATGACTTCCCGCTGTGCCACAAAAAATAGTTATTTGCGAAACATATAAAAGTCGATAGAATGCAATGTTTTGAGCAAGCTTAACATTAATACTTATTAGTTCTGTGGTATAGATTTGAATACATGAGAATATCATATAATTAAGAAATAATCTAAATCTAAGAAAAGGTAAAATTTCTAAGTATGACGAAAGCAATGAAGAAAACGATTGATCATAGAAAATAAAGAGCGCCTACGACTTTATCGAATTGAGTTTAAAAGAAAATTTGCATCAATTAATATTTGAATTTTCTATGAATTAACCTTCGATGCAAATGTAATCTCTGAAATCTAAACGCACGACTCTCTGCTCAGAAACATTATAGAGAGTGCAGTTTGTTTTCCATGTTGAAAGAGTAAAATTTGACCTTTCAAAGAAACCCAGACAAAATTTTTTTTTCGATTAATGCATCAGATCTATTTGTTTCTCTATAATAAGTTTAAAATTATATAATAATAGAACGTAAAAGTACTTTTGTCAGTCTTTCAAGTCGAATGGGATGAACTACGTTTTGATCCGCTTTACAATCAAAATTCATTACAAGTTTTTCATCGATTTCAAAAAAGAAGCCATCTAACATAAGCACATCCTTTTGAAGATGTTTCATATCGAACTTTTTCTCACTCAAAATTATTTTCAGAAAATCTTTTTTTTTTTTGAAGTTCACATTGTGTTGTTTCAATAGAAAAAAGAATGCATTTTCTACAAGATTCTTAAACGGAGAAGCATGAGTCGAGATTTCAGTAATTACTTTTGCATCGTTGGTTATAATATTCATGATTACTCTATAACATCTTTCAAGTATTATAACCACTATATCGACTTTTACTGGATCAACATTTTCATAAAATCTGATTTTTTTAAAATATATCATTCGATATCCCACAATTAGCTCGTTAAAACTCCACATATGACATGCTGATTCAGGATAGGTCACCAAGTTTGGCGAGATCTTTAAAGACGTAATTTTTTTTTTTAATTAGTTAATGGACGATGAAATGGAACTTGGCATGGGTATACATGGTGAAACTGGTGTACAAAAATTAAAATTATTACCAGTACGACAAACAATTGATTTAGCATTCGATCAATTATTTGTTGGTCCACGTACACTTGATCTTTCACCTGATACTAGTGTATTACTTTTTGTCAATAATCTAGGTTTAAATTATTTTTTTTTTGTTTTCTTTTATTTTTTTTTCTTATTTTACTCATTATTTTTTAAGGTGGTTGTTCAAATCTTGAATTAGGTGTTATTGTTAAAGATGCTATTGAAAATTTAGAACAACGAAAATTACATGTTAAACGTGTCATTTGTGGAGAAATGATGACATCATTTAATATGAAAGGTTTTTCATTAAGTGTACTTAAATTGGCAACAGATATGAGTTCAACTATTTTAAATTTACTTGATGCACCAACTGATGCTTTTGCTTGGCCTAAAATGATCAGTCCAGTACAATCATCAAATAGTATTCAAGCAGTATCAGATTCATTAGAATTTAGTGAACAATTTACTTCACAAATTGTAATAAGGTAATAAATCGTTTTTTTTTGAATGAAAAGAAAAAAAAATTAATTTACGATTAAACTTTTTAGTGAATCTCCTTTATCATTGGATTCATCTCATAGTGAATTAGTTAATCAAGCTCTTCAAGCTATTGTTAAACGACTTCATAGTGAAACAGATGAATTAAATCGATTAGATGCTGTTTCAGGTGATGGTGATACGGGTACGGCATTTCTACGAGCAGCTGAAGCCATAGCACGTGATCTAGCTAATAAAAAATTAGTACTTTATAGACCATCATCACTTTTTCGTCGTCTTGGTCTTATTGCAGAAAGTCGAATGGGTGGAACATCTGGAGCAAGTAAACTATTAACCATTCTTTTCTGAAAAATTTGGAAAATAATTCGTTTCTTTTTTTTGTTTTGTTCTTCTTAGTTTGTGGATTATTTTTTGCAGCGACAGCTAAACAATTATCATTATCAAAGTGCTCAGGAAAAGTAATTGATAGTCTTTGTGATGCATTTGAAGCAGGAATACAATCCGTTGAATCCTATGCACGTGTGCAACCAGGTGATAAAAGTTTATTAGATGCACTTATTCCAGCTATTGATTTTGTTAAATCAAAACGTACACAACAAAATTTTAGAGCACATGATTGGAAAGACTTAGCAATTGTTACTCAACAAGCTGCTCAAGAAACTAGAAATTTTGTAGCTAAAGTTGGCCGAGCTGCATTTGCAAAACGCGTAGAAAATATGGTACCTGATCCTGGTGCTATAGCTGTTTCTATTATAATTCAAGCGATCTGTGATACCTTTGCTAAAGCAGCTAGTAAATAAATATGATCTAACACACACACACATTCGAAGACCTCTACTGTTTTTCTTTCCTAGTCGTTTTATACATTTTTCATGAATTAGAATTTATAGATTTTAGTTCTGATGCAAACAAAAAAGACTAATAATAATAATTGACATCTACCTCTTTTAATATTATCTCTTTTAGTGATACTTTTGTTAACTTGTATTTCGATTTGATCTGTTATGAAGTTTTATCATTGTTTGTGGATGAATGTGTGCTATTAAGTTCTTTTTTTTCCATGAATTTGTTTTTAACAATAATCAAAGATAATAAAAAACAAGAACATTTTTTATGATAACTTATTGTTCCTATCATAAGTGTTAATATTGAACGATAGTGAGGATGGGCTGTTAACATATCGTAAGAAAATCAAACATTATGAAAGTTCGAAACGAACGACAAGAAAAGGGATTTATTCTATATTACGTGGGTTTTGGATATTTGTTTGACTATTTTTGAGTTTGGTTTCTCAGTTCAAACAATACAATTGGTAAACGTGCAGTACTGCGTTAAAGTCATGGTTAGCTACAATATCTTAGTATACAATCGATAGCTTTTTTTGAGCTGTATCTATCGAAATCAACTGTGTCGTTTAAAAATATTCTTGAACTACATTTTGTAATAGTCAATTTTTCTGTCATTCTTAAATCTATATAGAAAAATGTAGATATTTCTGCATAACACCAAAGTTCTGTAAAACGATTAGATTACATCAATTTAGGTATGATCTGCTGAAAGTATTTTCTAATTGTTGATGTCTCACTCTTATCAGATCATTGAAGATTAAAGTTTTTCCGTACTTATGCTATAAAAGTTATGCAAGATTTCACCTTGTTATGTTTTGTGAACCTGATGCATAAAATTCGACAATAGTTTCTATCAATAAATGAACTCATCTAAAGTGTCATATCTTCAGAAGAACATCAAGTTTATTAAGAATCTTACTTAGAACAAAGAAAAAAAGTATTTACAGTCATTTGTAAAGAAAATATGGTTTTCTAGGACTAATTAATTTTAGTTGTGTCGAAATCAGTACCAATAGTGTAAACAACATCATGCACTACACATGAAAAGTCCGCATTTAACTCTTGACAACCATAAAAACAGTACACATAATAAACCGTAATAAATCACTTAGGTTAGTAAGCTTCCAGAGAATTTCAACAATGCTTTTATCTTGCCGAAATTATAAACAAAAGTTGTTCATGTGCTTTACTATTGTAATGGATGGCTTATAAGGAAGGGGATACTATTATTTCTTTTTGTTTTTTGAAGATATCAACACAGTTTAAAAACATCATTTTAAGCTCATTTGATACAGCATTTTTTTGCTCTGTGCAACTGTCGATTTTGTGCTTCAATATAAGTTTCTTCTGTGCAGAAATATCGAAAAGATCTAAGTTCGAAATATGCTTTAAGACACTCCATAAAATGCTGCATTTCGCAATATTTTGAAATTATAGAAAAGTCAATTGAAAGAACAAATTTTTAAATGAAAATTAGAAAACGACACAAAAGATTCTTTTTGCAGCTCTGTCCTATTAGTGATATTCTAAAGATTTTCGTTGTTCAGTTTGAATCCTACAATATTTTGTTCAGAAGTAAATTCTGTGTCCCATGATATATTGATAAACCGCTCAAAAAGGATGTCAACTTCGAAAAACAAGAGTTTCAAAACTGCATTCAAAACGAGATACTATCAGGTGTTTGTTGCAAGACTTTTACACCCGAACGACATCATTAGAAGGCTGGAAAAGTTCTTGAGAGTATAAAGCATTAAACACTCTATCGATTGATGCTAGAAACCTTACATTTAAAATTAAACTTGGTGAATACAATTTTGTACACATTATAGGATGTTCACATAAAATAGAAGAAGATCGTCGTTGGGCATTGAAACAATCGTTAATCTTTTCATTTTTTCATTGACAAGAAAAACTTGTTTAAAAACTGAACTTCACATTTTTGTAGAACGAAAATTTCTCTACCAAATCAGCTTAGAATAGTACTTTTGAACAGTGTTTTCGTTCTTTAAAAATAAAAACTCAAACTATCGCATTATTAATGTACCATTCATTATTATCGACTCTGAACTGTTTATGTATTTATGAATTTCTCTATTTTCTATCTACCTTTTCATTCTTAAAGCTTGCAGGTTTTCTAATGTCTAGGTTATTTCTTGACTACTTAATATTTCAATGTGTTCAGCCCTATGCCACAGAACAAGTGAATATCAACGTGGAACTTTCTGAAAAAGTGTCCACTATCGAGCTTTATATGTTTCACAAATAATATGTTTCGAAACAACAGAGAGTTATTGTCAACTTGGAAGATTGTTTCCTACAATAGACTTTTCGTATATGAATAGGTCAGTATATGGATGGTATTCTAATAATACTCAACGATTCTGTTAAAAGTTTTTTTATAAACCAAGAATCAGCACAGCATCCTTCTTCAGTTGATATAAATAACTCATGTATAAAAAGAAAAGATTGTTTTCAGCTTCCAGATGCTTGAAGAAAATATGAAAATAATTATTTTTGAAATAAACATGATATATTAATGGATTTTGCTGGAGTTTCATGCATGAATCAAACCTGAATATTCAGAATAAAAATTTCAAAAAGAAATAATCAAAATATCAAACCTTCTTTCTGCAATTCTACATACATAGTATTCTGCAGACGTTGAAAAGCTAAACAATTTTCTTATTTTTATAAGTAAATTATTGATATCAACTCATGAAGGTTGCTCTACTGATTATTGTTTCCTAAATATTTTAACAGAATTGTTGAGTATTGTTAAAATGTCGTCAATTTACCGACTCTTCACATACAAAAATAGACTCTTCTAAAGAGCAATCTTGCAAGTTAGCAACGACTTTCTACTGTTTCGAAGCATATCATTTATGGAATAAATAGGCCTCGATAATGTACAATTTATCAGAAAATTTTATGTTGATGTCCACTTTTTCCGTAGCAGAGAGTTGAATACATTAGAATAGCAATTAGTTAAGAAATAACCTAGACCTAAGGAAAAGAACCAGTTTTAGATATGAAAAAAGCTACGATGAAAAATATTAATTATAGACAATCAGAGAGTACCGACAAGTGTATTGCATTCAGTTTAGAAACAAAACTCATATAAATTTATCTTAGAACATCTTAGGAATTTGAGTATCTATGAGTATCATATATCTCCCTCAAGGATGACAATCAGTATGTGAATTCTAAGTACATCAAAATTTAAAGGAACTTGATTTCTTATGCATCATTCGATACGCTTGCAAACCATTCTATAAAAACCATATATATATATGATATTCTAGTTCAAAACAGGTCACTATATTCTGTAATCTGCTTTTAATATTTGTCAAGAATAAATATCAGTTAATACTATGCAGGAAAGCATAAACATTTATAAAACATTTGTTTTTTTTATTTGCTAGGTGCAATTGAATTATCGAGTGTGACAGTGCAAAAAAATGGGATGTATTCATATGTCAGAATGACATCTATAATAACAGCAGTACAATCAGTAAAGATACGATGGAAAATACTTGTCTGATTTAATAATGGAAAATTCATTGATAAAAGTAAAATATTTTTTTCTTAATTATATTAATCATCAAATACAATCATTTCTACGTCAAACTTAATGTGTGTCGTGTCTATACAAAAATAGAAACTAAACGTAGGAAGAAAAAATGTCGATGTAAACTGATAAAAATATTTTTCTAAATATGATAAGTCTAGTTAAGATAATCGAGAAACATATGAAGACAATATTATTCATCAAACATTACAACATGTCAAAATTGAACAATAGAAATCTCCATATTATTGTGATGAAAACAAAAATTAGTTCTTAACTTGTTTCAAAAAATGCAATATTTAAAAACAAACTCAATTTTGTTCTCTTCACAAAAAAAAAATGTTCAAATAAATTTAGAAAAAAGTAAAATTATATGTATAATATTAACATTTTTAGAAAATCTGTGTTTTTTTTACACCAAGGTCAAAAATACACAGTCGCAAACGATCGTATATAGAGAAACACGATGATTCATAGAGAATAAACATTCATTTACTCAGTTTGCAAAGGGAAACTGCATACGACCTTCGTCTTGCTCCAATTCTCTCCAAATATAATTGTATTGTTCCTTACAAGGTCACAAAGAAATATGTATTGTAATAATAAACCATATAGTATGGTGAAATACAGAATCTATACAGACAGCGGTAGCACGATTGGAGCGGGAAGGGGTGTAATACCCTTCAATCATGGAGATTTTTTGTTTTTTTCCCAGCAGAGCTCAGGTTTTCTTTTTCAGTTCTGTTAGGAGTGAGATCTGTTCTCTTTGTAAAAAAAAATTGCGACACTTCCTCCCATGTTGACTGCTCGGGGCACCACTACATACAGACGTCCATGGATTCGGTATTCATTGATGTCAGAAACTAAATTCGAATTTATCTAACATGAAAGAGAAATTTTTCAGAGTGTGTTCTGATTTTATGTTTTCGAAACAAAAGTTTTACTTAACAGATGACGTGACTGCTAATAGATAAACTAATCAAATCAAACAAGAAAAACAGATTCATAAGGATCTGAACGACAATTTTATGGTTTACAATTTTTCAAAAAACCTAAGTTTAATCGATGAATCAATTAGTAACAAAAGATAATATTTTTTGTTTAATTTTCGTCAGTTGTTTTATTATGAGTAAATACGATTCGTTCTTAATTTGAAAATATATAATCGACTGTTTAACTTTATTGTCATATGTTCTTATTTACTCTTGAACTGTACGAGTATGTTTTCGATTGAAAGAAAACCTTGTTCAAATATTCTACAGTTAATTGAAGCCTTATCAGTTTTCGAAAGAATCTGCCGATAATATTCCTGTCAAATTGCCTAATTTATAGCTAGATGAAAATGAGATTTCTATTCTAAACTATTTTCGAGAATAAATATTAG